AAAGTGCAGTTCTTGTCATTTATTTTCATTCTTTCACCATCTTTATGCATGGAAGCTCGGATGTCATCGTTGTACATTGTGGTATATAGTGAAGATTTACAAGACCTGAGCTCTAAGTAAGGCTCTGCTAGACTAAGCTGTGCTCTTAAAGCCGTTCCTTCTACTCCTTCTTACTCTGTAACATTTTACTGAGAGCTTCCATTGCTATGAACTGTTTTAAACATTAAGTCTATAAATAGTACGAGATCAATCATTGCTCTGAAACACCAACAGTTGTATAGTATGTTATCTGCTTTAGAATGCCAAGAATTTCTAAAGAGTTTTTTTTTTTTCCTGCAGTTTTAGTTTCCAGCTGGGTATGGGTAAGCCTGTCCTGTAATCACAAACTACTTGGGGATGTGATGACAGAAAAATCTCTAGTTGAGCTCAGCCCTTGGTAAAGGAAACAAGACCTATGGCAAAAACAAACAAACAAAAGTCTGGTGGTGTAGCTCAAGTGATAAACAGTGTTTGACTAGCAAAGGTGCTGGCTGGGTGAAGGACTTTGTGTCTGCTCACCACATCGACATCTGCTAGAGCATGTGCAAAGGGAGAGTTTCACTTGGTGATATAGGAAGCCAGAGCTACAGAGCATCTTGGTTAGGCTTGCTCTTTTGAGGCACTCTCAAAAGAGCTCGGGTCCCACAAGAACTACTTAATTCCTTTGAGGAATTAAGGCGGTGGCCTTAATGGTCCTACTATATTTCCCATCGGTCCCATCTCTTTAAGGTTTCCTAGTGCCTCGCAATACCATCGCACTGAGGACGAGGCTTCCACATGTGAACCTTTGGGGGACACACTCAAATCATAGCAGCTTCTTTTTTTTTGAGACAAGATTACCGCAATGTTTCTTGTGTTGCCAGGATGGCCTTGAACTTGTGATGTCTTGCTCAGCCTTTGAAGTAACTGACCTTAACAGTTTATATATCACTGCATTCAACCAAAGCATAGCAGTGTCCTGTTTGGTCACTGTTCTCTTTGCTAAATACTGTGCATATACAAAAGACCCAGTTCAAATTCTCTCTATGAAATTTCCAAATGAATTCCATCCTAGCCATCTGGTTCTTGCCTTTACTAAATCCTTTAACCCTTATTGTCCATATACTAGACATTCCATGATTTTTTATGAAGATTCTTCAATATTTATTGTCTCTGGCCTTTTTTTTTTTTTTTTGGAGTAATAGTTAATGATGTAGTATTATAATTACTTACAGATCCCATTATTGTTATGGAGTTTTTTTTAAACCAGGCGTGTTTTACTTAATCCTTACCATTGTATTATAAAAAGATACGTTTATTATTTGGGTATAAGTACAAAGAAATTATAAATTAACTGGATCCCATTGGGTAAACAAAAATTGAACCCAGACATTCTGTCTCTAGATCCTACTATATTTTATGCATCACTGAATCAAAAACCCTTCCCCCTTGCTCTGACATACAATATTAAACCTTACTCTATATTGTAATAATCGATTCTCACACTTAAACTCTGTCAGTATTTGAACCATGCTGTCTTTTCTCTCCCCTCCAGGAGAAGAGATTGGATTATGGCTATTTAATATTTTATTTTATGGGTATACCCTAATTTGGGTCATTACCCCTATTGATAGCTATTGAGGGTTAGCTATTAAAAGCAATGTATGTGCTTTATTGGAATATAATTCCTTATAGCAGAATTTTATGCTATAGAGTAAATTAAATTTTTTGATACAACTGTCTTCAAGTTGATTTGTTTTCAATTTTATGGCACATTATTTGAATAGGAATAATACCATCCTGTGCAGTCTGTGTGATATAAGGAAGATTTTTTTAAGTTTTCAAGTTTGTCATTTTTAATTTACAGTTTATTTCATATGCTGTTATTCTTTCACTTTTAAGGTTTTGTATCTTCTGTACTCATTTG